TTTTGCCGGGGATTATGTGAGATTGTAAGAAATGATGTGTATTTTCTGCTAATTAATATGTATATCATTATAGATCCTGAAACCATTAAAATGGGAACTGGGTTTTGCATTTTTTGCTGGATTGCATGGGGAAAATGATTTGCATTTCAGGGACTGGGCACGACAAACACAAAAATAGGAATAGGAAAGCCCAAGTTCACGGAAAGCTATGGAGCAACTTTTGATTGGGCGTTTCTCTAAAAATGTCCTGGAAGGCCTGCATGCATTATGTCCTTCTCCGGCTCGAGGTCATCTTCCTGATATTGCGAGTCAGTGATTTACTTAGTATGTCTAGTATGTGACAGAAAATGACAGGTATTTAAACACTTTAAAACTTTTACTTCGTGAAGTTATTTCTAAAGGGAGCTATTAAAAACAAAACCCTCATCATTGGTAAATTTTTGCTTGAAAGATCATTGTCATATAATATTTTCATTGTCTTTGCTAATTACTATGTATTGACTAGAGGTTGGGTAAAAACAGCCAATCTAATATTAGAGCTGCAAAAATTGAATTAGAACAGCAGTTCTTAATACAACTGCACGCTAAAAAGTAAAAATGTTTGTCTTGTAAAATCGTATAGTCTTTTTACTCACAAATCTTAGGCCTGTAGTACGGTAGAACGTTCGCCAATTGAATTGAAGACCACGCAATATAAACTTTAAAACACATTTATGTAATTAGATACTATCAAAAAGATGAGGACGTCAAACAAGATACTGAGCTGGGAAATTTTGCCAACCAATTGTCAGCAGATGGCACCGGAAAGAATGGCGGAATTGGACTGGTAAGATAGTTTCAAAATCAACAACCTGTGGCAGTGGCAAAACTTTCGCCTCCCATAAAATTGGCCCCATCTATACTACGAAATTAAGTTGCCGCAATTAGTTTGCAATTCAAATATTATTATATGTTGTAGACACTACGTGCCTTCTGCCGCGGATCTTCTAATTGCTTACTGTTAAACATGGTAAACACGCAACCTGTATATAACCGAGTTATCTGCCCATGATATGTAATTTTACAACAGGCGGTATCTTCGTATAATAGGACGAAAGAAGAAAAAACAACATGACTTCATGGATGGTGTAATACCATCACCTCGTAATTTTTTCAATCGCGATAGAAAGTTATCAATTATCGTGCTATGCACGGCTGTTTTCTAGATTCAATTATCGTACGCGTTAAGCTAGTGCAAAATACAACATTAAGATCCTATGTTAGATACTTTTAAAAATGATTAGGTGTAGTATGGTTATCAGAGGTGGCCTTTTGAGAGATTTCTCTAAAGGTCTGAGGACATGATAATGTGAAGGCAATAATTGTTTTACAGTTCACTCGGTACAGTAGTGCCATTATCAGGGACGTCGCTATAGGGGGGGGGGGGAGTGTAACACCCCCAATAATTCAAACGTTGGTCATATTGATATTGGTTGGTGATATTTGCCCAACGTTGGTCAAAAGAAACTGATATTTGCTTAAAATTGAAGGTAAAACTCGGGAAAATTTGGTAAAAGTTTGGGATAAAAGATGGTCGAAGTAGGTCAAAGCTATGAAATGGTTCGCAATTTTAACAATTTTAAAGCTTCTGTTATGTTTGCGGTGAAAAATTGGAAGCCTTGCTTATCTTGGTCGAAAAATTTTGAATATGCTTATGTTAGTGAGGAAAAATGTTTTGAGTATGTTTATGTTAGTCCGGAAAATTATTTGACTATGCTTATGTTAGTCCGGAAATTTTTTTTACCTCCCCGCCCGTCGACAACATTTTCGGGGAAAATTTGTATGACTTGGTCAAAATCCTAGGAAATGTTGGTCAAAACATGACGACACCCCCCCTC